AAAATGTTCTTGAAATCAAGTACCAATAGCACAAAAGTAGAGGTAGGTGTAGGCGTGTTCTTTTATTCAGTGCTGTATCCAGCGCTTGCAGCAAACCGTTCGTAAATTAAGTGATGGAAAGACGATTGTATGTGTCAATCATTCTTTTTTCCAGCGGTGAGTTCACCAATGAGCCAAGGCATCCATCGGCTTTAAAAGCCGATGGATATGTGATAGACGAATGGTGAGGATAATCAATCATTTAAGTTAACCTAAAATATAAGAGTTCAAATATAAAACGACTGCAGAATAGATAAATTACATCAATCACTGATAGAACAATTATTGAATAAAAGAACACACCTTATATCACAAACACAAGTACACATGTGGGATAGAAGAAGCTACCTAGAAAGCACTGAACGATTGGACAAAATTAGCTAAATAGTATAATAAGGTACCAATATTGCAAAGGTTCACTAAAACCTTAAATGGTGAACAATGATAAAGCTAGATTGGTGAAAAATAATAAACAAATACAACAATGACTAGGTACATATTATTATATTAGATTACTAGAGGATAGCTAAGTTAGCTGATTTCTTACCTAAGACGCAGAGATATATCTTTTTTAAATCAAGCCTTTTAACTTTTTTTGCATATATATTTATAAAGTGCTATAATGTAACCTAAATATGACAATTTATTAGAAGAGAATAAATTATATTTTTATATAAAAAGATTTTACTTCTCAATACATTGAATAAAAAAGAAATTGATAACTTGTTTACCTATTATTAATTAAAGGAAATTATATAGAAATTAAAAAATATGCCTTACTTTGTTGTTTTAAATAAAACAACCAATGTTAGTGTATTGAAATTTGTTTGAATTTTACAAATTTTATGCTTGATTTCCAAAGTAGATATTACGATGGCTCAATCAAAAAACGCCACAAGTCAAAAAACAAAGCAATTACATTTTTGGTTCAATGGATGCAAAATATCATTACGGTTTTACTTTAAATACCACCACAAACAAAAATATCCTTAAAGATAAATCATTTAAAATGTAGCCACAAACTGTGTCTAAAACTGCCTCAATTCGAGTTATTTTCTTCAAAAACACCCAAATTTTTTACAACTATGCAACAACTCACTTTTATAATCGTAATCATTTTATTTAACAGCAAAATATCGAAGCTTTTAAATAAAATATAAAGAGTATGTCAAAAACAAAATAATGATAATAGAGACTTACAAAATTTCAAAATGAAATTTCTCGAAATAATAGTAATTTAGTTGTGGCAGTATTTGATTGAGCCATCGATATGTAGATTTTATAAAAAACAACTGGTGTTTTTTAGCAAGATATTCTATTATACTTGAGATTATCATCTATGATTTCTTTCAACTTTTCTGCTGGGTTTTCACTTGAAATGATGGTTGCATTTCCAGGCAATCTAGCCTGTTGAAGAAAATGAACTGCTTGAATTCTGATATACCTGACATATCATGTACCTATAGATTCACTTTTTATAAAACTTCAGGTGTTATATTCTTCTTTACACTTCTGTAGTATTTACTTTTGCTTCTAAAATTCCTAGAATGTCGAAGGAAACCTAAAAAATAATATTTTTAAAATGTATTTTTAGTTCGATAAAGTATAATTACCTTTTATAAGTATTTGGTGTAAAATGTTGCCGGACATTCGGTTAAATGTTTATCTTCTGGTTTACAACGATTGATCTGCAATTCTTTGTATTTATTGTAGTTTTTTTTATTTGGTGTCATCGGCATCGACTGCTAAAGATACTTAATGAATGAAATAATAAATTTACATCAGGCATTGTAATCTGAAACAAAGACAATGGTTTAGAAAATATTTATCTATTTTATAGAGGACCCTTACCAAATCTATTCGAATGTATAAATAATAATTATTTATAAAATAAATTCTGGATGTCGAAAAATAAACCATTAAAAAAGACAATTGACAAGAAAAACTGACAAGTGACAATTGACATAAAACTAAACGTTCTGAAATCAGATTTGTAATGTTTACGGTAGGTTAACTAGGTAAATAACAAATAGAAGTTTTGCGAGGTTTTGATTTCCCTCAACAACTTCTCATGAACGTTGCATTTACGTTGTATAGTAATGTTATTACGTTCCCTTAATGCAACATCGCCGAAAGGCTTGGCAACGTTATGTGCTAGCTGGGATTGGCAGTCTTTTATATTTGGCTTTGGGAACAAGGCCGGATATCGCATATTCCGTAAACATCCTCTCTCAGTTTAGTTCAAATCCAACAAATGAACATTCCAATATGATTCAACACATATTTCGCTACCTAAAAGGAACTGTGGATATCAATTTGAAGTACGAACAGACAATAAATCCAAAACTTTATATGTATAGTGATGCTTCATATGCAGATTCATTGGACACTAGAAGATCAACGAGTGGGTATGTAGGATTTTATGGAAATGCTGCTGTTACATGGACCACCAAAAAGCAACAAAGTGTAGCTGTTTCCACAACGGAATCTGAATATATGGCCCTGTCTTTATCAAGTCGACAACTAATCTGGATGGCCCATGTGCTTAAATATTTAAAACGTAAGCATAGGCCTATGATATTGTGTGATAATCAAGCCTCTATACATATAGCATCCAACCCAGTTTTACACCAGCGAAGCAAGCATATAGATGTTCATTACCATTATGTAAGAGAGAGGTTCATGGACAATACAATAGATATCCAGTATGTCTCAACTAAAGAAAATATAGCAGATATGCTAACGAAGCCAATTGGCAAAGAACTTTATAAATATTTTCTCAAGAAATTTACAAAAATCATCACTGAGGGAGAGTGTTGAGTATGCAGCTCTGATTTTATCTAATTTTTTTATTTACACTTACTTGTTGACTATATTGTATAACTAGATGGTTAGATGTTTTTTATAAAAGGTTGTCAGTTTTTGATTAAATAAAATAAAAGTCAGAACCAATATATTTTATTCCAAAATATTCAAAAACTAGTTCCATACTTTATTTTATAAAATAATTTATGTGGAAATCATTTAAAATTTAATTTAAAACTACTACCTACTCCTAAAAATTACAATTTGAATTTACCGCCATCTGTCAATTGTCATTTTAGTTCCAGCTCCAAACACAAGGTGGCGCTAATTTGGTTTAAAAGTTTAACATTGGCGTGGGGTCTCTAGAAGATACATGCTTTGTGGGTCGTCCTTGAACTAAAATCGAAGTTCGATTACAACGTCTCTAAAGTTCTAGGTGGTTCTGGTGTTTGACCGGAATTTAGAGATGGATATTAGCAAATATGTAACTGTTATGCACATTTACGGATTTGTTACTACAAAACTCAGCTGAGCCGAACTTGGGTAGGTCGTCGCACAAAGCACGTATCTTCTAGAGACCCCACGCCAATGTTAAACTTTTAAACCAAATTAGCGCCACCTTGTGTTTGGAGCTGGAACTAAAATGACAATTGACAGATGGCGGTAAATTCAAATTGTAATTTTTAGGAGTAGGTAGTAGTTTTAAATTAATTTTAAATGATTTCCACATAAATTATTTTATAAAATAAAGAATGGAACTAGTAAGTTCGAAACTTTTATTTTACAAAATAATTTAGGTCGATTATACCAAATTTGAGGAATTAATTTGTTATAAGCAGGGGTCTGATGTGGAGAGTTGGTTCTGCATATTATTATTAAATAAATATAAGATATATCAATAAATAATAAAATAGAACATTCTTAAAATATGTTTATTAATAACTTAAATAAATATTATTAGATAAAAATAAATACAAATAATAATACATATTTAACGAATACTTACTTGCAGCAAATAGGTATACAATCTCAAATCTTTAAAATACCTATCAATAATTTAAATGTGAAGTAGAGACTAGGATATTACATTTTATTAACACTAAAATAATATATTTTATAAATGTCTTTTAAACCGAGGACAAATGTAATATAGGTATTGTATTAAAAGGTGAATCCTTTTAACTATTCATTCAATGATAAATTGGTATTTTCCTTCCAAATACAGATGGTGGTATTACTCCACTGCTTTGTATATTACTCTCTTATGTGAAAAATGATTTCGGAATCTAGTCCAATGATAAATTGATTATCAATTAGTTGTTATACCCGTTTGTCTTTTTATGATGCAAATGCATGGTGAATCAATGAAGTTTTTCTCGAAGTTTTCAACGTAGCACCCACAGGTAGCACCAAAATTATTGCAAAACACAGTAGGATAGGAAATAGAAAAGCAAAACATCACAATTTTGCAAATAACTAAGACGAAACTATAAACAGAAACCAAAAGCCAAAGCCAACGCCAACAAAAAATCACTAAAATCAGACGGAAAAATGAGATTAACCAAAAACATAAATAAATATACGTCACATCTTTGGAGTCTTTGGTTAAGTTTTTCTCTCATAAAGCTTAAAAATGGAGTAAGAAATCAGAATTTTACCAGTAGCCCCATCTAGAGTTTGGAGCAAATAGCATAAAAAATGTCAGTTGTCGGTTTTGACCTTGGTCATTCACGTGGAACCTCTATGTGCTTTGTGGGTCGTCGTGGAATGAAAATCGAAGTTCGGATATATCGCGTGAATTTAGAGATGGGTAGTAACAAATCCGTAAATGTACATAACAGTTACAGATTTGCTAATATCCATCTCTAAACTCCATTCTAACACCAGAACCATCTAAAACTTCAGAGACGTTATAACCGAACTTCGATTTTAGTTCAAGGACGACTTTACCCAAGTCCGACTCACGTAAGTTCTGTTTATAAATACGGGCCTTCCTATTCAAACGCAGCATATAATATTCCTTTTTTTTACAGGTAATTGACTTTTACAATTATTATACAGTAACATGGTTTATTGACTGTTTGACTAGTTTTAAAAGGCTAGAGATCATAGAAAACAAAAAGAAGAATGAAGTAAATTAATTAAACTGTCAAGTAAGAAAATTAATTATATACAAATATCTATAAAATGAAAATCTTTTTCTAATTCTATTGAAACATTTATTAATTAATTAAAAATGTTGCCAGATATTGGGGTATTTGGTACAGGTCCAGTAGTGAAAGTATTAGTTCCCATTCTACGAGAAAATGGATTTAAAATAGAAGCTATTTGGAGTCAAACCAGACAAAATGCACAAGAAACCGCAAAAGAATTGAAAATACCATTTTTTACTGATAATATAGATGAAGTTTTGTTACGAAAAGATGTAGATCTAATATTCGTTTTATGTCCTCCTAATTTACATGCTCAAATATCTGTTAAAGCACTAGGTATAGGAAAGCATGTGGTTTGTGACAAACCTGCTGGATTAAATCAAGTAGATGCCCTAAAAATGGTTGGAGCAGGCCAGTATTATCCTTCTTTAATATCTTTGATTAATCATTCTTTTCGTTTCCTACCAGCCTTCATTCAAATGAAAAAAGCTCTTAAAGATAATTATCTGCAATCTTCTATTACTCTTGTTGATATACGGATTCAAAGTGGGTGTCTTTTCAATGATTCAGATACTTTCGACTGGAAATGTGATGATACAATGGGCGGAGGAACCTTAAATTTAATTGGAAGCCACGTGGTTGATTTAATAACATTTCTAACTGGGCAAAGAGCTATAAAAGTACATGGTGTTGTGCGTACTTTCACAAAGAATACCGCAAACATTAATGGCATTCGCAGTATATCTGCTCCAGATTTTTGTACATTTCAGATGGAACTTCAAAATGGCATTTTAGTAACTGCTACTATAAATAGTCATACTGCAGGTACAAACTTTAACCAAGACGTTATGATTTGCAGTAGTACAGGTCATTTAGTCGTAAGAGGTGGAGACTTATTTGGTAGGAAAAATAAAGGCAATGAAGAAGTTTTGTATTTGGATGTAGAAGATTTAAAATGTCCTGTACCCAATTCAATTCTACCAAAAACCTTCATAAAAGGGCTTTGTAAGATGGTATCTGCTTTAAGGGAAGCCTTTTTGCCTAATAATGAGAAGGAAGGTTGGATTAAAGAACCAGTTCAGTCTGCTGCTACTTTTGAGGATGGATTATATGTCCAAGCTGTTTTGAGTGCTATCAGAGAGTCATCTCATACCCGGCAATGGGTGAAAGTTAAAGTTTTGACAGAGCAACCCGATAAAAATGAACTCTTGAGTGCCGTTGTTAGGAGAACTGCTATTACTATTTCATAAACATATTTATTTCATAATTTTGTATTATTTGGGGCTTCCGCCAGGGTTTATTTACTTAAAGATTATTTATTTTTGTAAAATATTGGGTAATTAATGAATGGAAGAAACTGCTGTGAATTATTTAATTTTAAAATATTTGTTAATGATGCTATAAATGTTTGTTAAGTTTTCAGATAAAATTTTAGTTTTAGGTTTGCAATATCGCATTTTTTGTGTATCGACAATGGATGTCATTTTTTGGATAAAGTCTGAATTTCTTTCTTAATATTTTTCAAAAATGTTTTGGAGGAAGTCCTGTAACTTTTTATATTTTTTATATCTTTATGTATTCTTATTTTTTTAAGGTTTTTTTAAAATAGATTTTTATACAAATATTAGTAGTTTCTTTTTATATTGTTGGTAAAACATGGAAAAATTATTCTTTATAAAACATTCATTATCATCTCCGCACTTTGCTGGTTTGTATTTTTCTCCTCAGCTTTGTCTGTTAGGTGCCAATTTTTAAAATAATTTCGGTTTTATCCTCAAAACATGATCATACTGTTTCACAAAAAGGGTACAGGGGGGCTATTTTTAAAGTATGGGAGCACTCATTTCTCTCAAGATTCTCATCAGAAATGTCATACGTCAATGTGGAAACGCTGTATTTAAAGACATCGAGGATTAAAATTCTTAGGAGAAATTTAATTATCTCTAAATAAATCGAGAGAAACAGTCAGTGAGTTCACACTGGCCCTAAGAGCCCTAAAAATACGGTTTTACGTTGACGTATGACATTTCTCTTGATGGAAATGAATTCTCTCGACTTTGAAAATAGCCCCCCAGGGCCATCCAATATATTTTTGAGAAATTTATATATAATCTCAAAATCGAACATTTGTTTTTAAATGTTTTTTAGTGTTGTTTATGTATTTATACTTTTGTTGAATCAAGAATATTCTTACATCTTTTTTGAATGATTTCCTTAACCAATCGTTTTGCAGTATTTATGAACCAGTATTTAATTTTGTCGGATCACAACTATACAGTGTGTTCCATCTCAGACGAGCCACCCCATAGTAATTGGAAGAATTTCCTGAAACACGTCGGATGATTTTCTTTGGGGGACATCTTTTCACGTATATTTGAGGCTTAAACCAGCAACCCCCTATGAGGGGGAGCTTCAACCCCTCAAAATGGAATAGGGAAAAAGGGTTGAGTGATACATCATTTGTAAGGTCTTGAAAGCCTCTTTACAACGGTGTATGAAAAAATCACATTCTTAAAAAAAATCATATCATCCATATATAAACAAGACGACGAAAAGCGGGTCATATTGCTTGGCTTGCCAAGTGCTCACCAGGCAGAATCGGTCTGGCCCAAATGAGTTTAAATCTCATATTTCATCAAAGTAGGAATTTAATTAAAAACAAATTATCTGTATGTTTATTTCAAGACAGGAGCTTGCGTTAGATATTTTAAAAAAGGATTTTGAGTCATAACGTCTAGTTTCCCAATTTTCAAAACATTTTAAGAGATCTAACCAATTTTGAAGATAGATATAAACAATTTTACACTCATGTGTATATAATTAACTTTAGATTACGACCACTGTATAGTGGCACTATTCGGACACTTGATTATTCTTTTAAAATTTATTTCGCATTATAAAAGCAGATATTATGCAAAAATTGAATGAGCTTTTTAAAGATTTTACTAAAAGTTAGTAGCTTTTTCACATTCTAAAATTTGTTCCCTTTAGACAATTAAGGATTATTTTGGCGGTGAATGTGAATGATTTGATGAATAATAATAAGATTCAACCAGTGGAAATCTGATCAACATCATAGTAAAATGAACTAGGTACAAAGTGCAATCTTAGTTGACGTCAAGATCCGTTTAGCATCGGTAAGGGGGAAAGAAAGATTCTGACTTACAATCACAAAAAAAACGTACAACTAAGCTTAGTCGATGTAAGTTAGCTCAGATTAGTGGTAAAAAGAAAGCGACTATTAATAAAAAGAAAAGTAATCCAGCTAAAACAAGAATTATAGCTACTGTCTTTAAATAATGATATGTTGCCAGTACTAGTAGAATGTTAAGTGTTGAGTTATCTTCTTCATGCAATGGATGTACGTATGCATAATTTAAAACGTTTGGTTAAATATTATTATGTTTAATGTGTTTTTGCAGTTAATGAACATATATCTACTACTGAAGCAGATAATGAAGATTTGTGTGCTGCTGAAGAGCTTTGCTTAATTTACAAAACTTCGTTTAAAAGCAGAAAATTGGGATCGATTGATCAACACAAGTGAAGAGTGGTGATTTAGTTGATCCGTTTTCAAACAAATTGTCAGTGCTAAAGAACTATCTACTTTTATAGGATTGCAATCCTTCCAGTTATTAGCCACCATTGTGGAATTCGTTGTTTCTAAAGAATAGGAAAAAGGAGATCAGTTATGTCTGTAAAGGATCAAGTTATATTTACGTTTATGAAGTTGAAAACTGATATGCAAGATATAATGTCTTATCCATTTTATTTGGAGTGAATGAAACTTTTTATCATTAAATTTTTTAACATTTTTTAATAAAACTGGTAGAAGTTCTTAGTATGGTATAATTCGGCCTTCAAAACAAGAAATATTAAAATATGTGTCTCTATGTAAGTAAGAGTACTACTTGATTGTACCGAAATCCCAATACAGCAAGCCAAATGTCTTTGTTGTAGGCTAAAAAATTACTCTGACTACAAAAAGAGGCATACTATTAAAATATTGACTGGAGTGTCACCTACTGGTCTCATTACTTACAAAAGTGAAGCATATGGTGGTAGAACTTCAGAAATAGACATTTTTTAACAAAGTTCAATACTTGAAGTGTGTGAATCATTTCTCGATAGTAAAATGTTTAACAAAGGTTTTCTTATTGGAAACATAACAGAAGCTGAAGGTATACAAATTATACAGCCTCCTTTCCTCAATAAAAAAAATTAGTTCAGCCATCAAGAGGCTTTACTTAATGCCAAAATTGCCAGAGCTAGAATTCACATAGAAAGAACCTATCAAATAATAAAACTGTTTCTGTATTGGTACTTATGTCCGTTTTTCTTCTATTTATATTGAGTTTTTATTATACGATACTTCTCTGTATCTAAATTTTAAAATGTACTTGTAAAGCCCAGATAGCTCTAACTCGGGCCTTTGAATATAATAATATTTATGTAATTGTATTTACAATAAATACTTTATTATTAATATTATTATTATTATTATAATTAATTATAATTCATAAAATTATTATAAACGTATTTACCATGTACATACTTGTATTGATACTTGCGTGAAAAATGAAATGTTACTTTTTATATTTCTGTAGTTGGTCTTACAACCCTTTATAGAGCAATTCACCATTTAAATTTAAAAACAAAACAAGTTTTTATACTCAAATAATAAAAAAATAATTAAAAACAGAACATAAGTATAATTAAAACTAAATAAAATAAACAATTCAACAAAATGTCCGACTGAGTAATGACAATGAGAACAAAATCTCAACTAGACTAAACTTTCTTTAAAACCTGTCCTGTGAAAGGTTTGTTTACCAGTGAGCACTCAAAATTGAGACAAAACACAAACATTGCATGCACTAGACAAAGAGAAAACATCTCCCAGTTCGACCCGCTTTTCATCGTTTTATTTACGTATGGATAAGCAGTCTATTTAAACTATATTATAATATGTCATTGTACGGAAGCGTAGAAGGGCCACATTTTTTAATTTTTTTTTTTATTCTAAAATTCCGTGTTCGTACACGGAATTCCTTGTTCAAACACGGAATTTCCGTGTTCAAACACAGAAATCCAAAATTCCGTGTTCGAACAAGGAATTTCCGTGTTAAAACAAAGAATTCCGTATTCAAACACGGAATTCCGTGTACGAACACGGAATTCCGTGTTTGAACACGGAAATTCCGTGTTCGAATACGGAATTTTAGATTTCCGTGTTCGAATAAGGAATTCCGTGTTTGAACACGGAAATTCCGTGTTCTAACAAGGAATTCCGTGGTCGAACACATAATTTTATATTCGAGCTACAGTATTTATTGGTATATGTACGGCAGCGTAGAAGCGTAGATGCGAATATTTTGGTATAAGTATATTTTTCATCAGGTGTCATCATTTTTCGAAATATGACGCCATCACTAGTTTTTTAAGTAGCACCACCATTTTTTGATAATACCATTTAATAGAAATACAAGCAACAACATTTTTAACCGGTCCTCCATTTCTTTACTTTTTTCGAGATATAACTAATAATTGGATTTAGAAAACACCGCCTCACTTTATCCCTCTTTTATCTAGGCTAGAGAGGCAATGAGAGTAAATTTAAAACACTATACAGGGTGTTATTTTAAATCGATTTAAATGAAATTTGGGCATCAGGGACTAGAGCCTAAGACATAAGACTGACCTGGAAATAAAATTAATGGAAAAATATTACTATGCAGGGGACAAAGAGGGCAAGACTTTTGATACTACTTCCTTGAGAAAATAGGATTGGAAGGGTCGCTATAGGCATTGAGACATTTCCTTAGTGCAGTGGCGACAGAAGGGGGCACAATAGATCTTTTAGATCGCAGTGTATTAACACCCCATTATCAACATAACATACTACTTCCGTCTCTTTTTTAAAAAATCGGCAAATGTAAAAATCTGAGGATATTCAAAGAATCTGTATTTACCCATCCCTCACAAAGATCCTCAAGTCACCCAAAAGCAACCTGTAAATACTTTATTTAAATTTATAGTTCGAAAATAAAATTCCGTGTTCGAACAAGGAATTCCGTGTTCGAACACGGAATTCTTTGTTTGAACACGGAATTTTAGATTTCTGTGTTCGAACAAGGAATTCCATGTTTGAACAGGGAATTCCGTGTTCGAATACAGAATTCCGTGTTCGAATACGGAATTCTTTGTTTGAACACGGAAATTCCGTGTTTGAACACGGAATTTGAGATTTCCGTGTTTTAACAAGAAATTCCGTGTTTGAACAAGGAATTCCGTGTTCGAATACGGAATTCTGTGTTTGAATACGGAATTCCGTGCACGAACAAGGAATTCCGTGTTCAAACACGGAATTTTAAAAATAAAAAAAAAATTAAAAGTGTGGCCCTTCTACGCTGCCGTACATTGCGTGGAACCTCTATGTGCTTTGTGTTACCACCGGTGTGAAGTTAGCAGTAAGTTTTTAGCAGTAAAAATAACCGAGAACACCCGATCGGAAAAATAGTGGCGTCCGACATACAACTATTTTAATAATCTTGTCAATATGTATTTTACATTAATATCGGACAAATAATTAATATACATACCGTTGAAAATGTCTGATTTTGAG